GTGTGTGTGTGTGTGTGTGTGTGTGTGTGTGTGTGTGTGTGTGTGTGAACGTGTGTGTGTATGTCCTTGAGCCTGCTTTCTAGTGACGAGAAGAAGAGACGTACCGTTACGGGATTTCTAAACACCACCCTCGTAGTCTTGTACTAAGAAAAGAAAAGATAGGGTGCTCAAGTAAATACGACATTTTTCTCTCTCGTGGAGAGCAAAGAGATAGGTATAGGTATGAGAAACATACACGTTGGAAGGAAGCCTGGAACAGACAGAAGGGGAAAAAATTAAATATGATTAGGAGTAAATATTATTGTAAAAGCAATACTTATCTGAAACATAAACTAATTATCTTTATTTGATTATTTTTTTATGTGAACTAAGGGAAGAAGAGGGAAATATACTGTGATGCTTCCTGTTCTAATAGACAAACCTGTCAGTAGAAAAGACCCAGTTTTTTAAGTTATAGAAGGACAACTGGCACTGGCACTGCGCTGCAGGATATTACTCTAGTTCTATAAATAGGTGGAATATTGCCACATGGTATTGATTATGCTGTTTCACTTTACCACAGAATCCAGTTGAAAATAATTTTATAGGCCGTGTTGAGGATGACGACGACCTCCAAGACGATTTCGGCACTTTTCCCGACCTTCAGGATCAGCCCCGCAATAAAGGAGTTAGGGTTAGGGTTAGCATCAGGCCTCGCAATAAAGGAGTTAGGGTTAGGGTTAGCATCAGGCCCAGCGTATTGGCTCCGGGGACGTAGTGACCCATCATTTGCATACTAGTGGCATTCTGACGCAAGATGGGGGAAACAGTAGTTACAGTGGTCTGAGCGCAACTTCATATATCATCAACTATCATTGCACTTCAATAAAGGATCTTAATAGTGACGAGAAGAAGAGACGTACCGTCACGGGATTTCTAAACACCACCCTCGTAGTCTTGTACTAAGAAAAGAAAAGATAGGGTGCTCAAGTAAATACGACATTTCTCTCTCTCGTGGAGAGCAAAGAGATAGGTATAGGTATGAGAAACATACCCGTTGGAAGGAAGCCTGGAACACATTCTGTGGCATCAGGTTACTATAAAGAATAAGAAGAGTCAAACATTAGTCAGCTTGCAAATGTTGACAAATCATACACTGAATTCAGCTTGAACTCAGATGTAATGTAATTTTCTTCTCACGTCAGTTGATCCACCAATGTATCGAGGGTGGAGAACTTGTCCATTGCCTTTGGCCCATCTTGGTCAATAGTGTTAGGAGCCCCAGGCTTGATCAGCAGAACCAGGATCAATCCTACAACACGTATTCAAGGTTGGACGTAAGCGGCAAAAGTGGCATGCATGCTGTAGCTGTTCAATATGGATCATGACTTAATGAAAACAATAGTTTTAATCAGGATTCACAAAATGAGGTCACAAAGGCCTTATTTTTATGTCTAAAAATGTTCTACTAGAAATTAGAAAGAGAATAAGAACAATAACAGTGTGTAAATAAACATTACGTCCAACATGTTTTTATCAACAAAGTCCTTCATTAGTTTGAAGAGAAGTGATTTATAGAGACACAGCCACAACTATCATAATGAGCAAGTTTCACTGACAAATTATGCCGACTGGGTCACAGTTTGGGTGGTTTTTCTCCTCTAATTTGAAGGACTCATCATCTAATCTTGAGGCTGTGTCTTGTTTAGAGGCCCTGTGTCAAAATCTAGTTGTAGCCATGAATTAATAAATGATAAATGGATTTTGGGGCTCTGGACAAAATATAATATAAGGGAGCTTACATCAATACAAATCAAATACATTTAGATCAATTACATAAATTCAAAAATGGCATCTATTATTATATTGTACATCTATTAAAGGCCACTACATTACTTAACACAATGCATTACATTAGTACATTCAAAAAACAACAACAACTGTACTACTACACTACTTTAAAATACATTTGTTTTGGCTCTGGAGAAACCTTTTCAGAAGCAACCCTGTTTACATAACATTACATTCTGGTGGATTGCAAAGGGTGCTGGAATGGACCTGCTCATCCTGGACGTGTCCCTTAGCATCATCATTAGCCGCCCTACACTCTAAAAACTCTCAACATTAGTTACTTTAAAAATGATGGCAACAAAGTGACACGTAATATAATTGATTAGATTTTAAGTGATACAACATTGAGTAAAAAGTATTGAATAAATTAATTAAATCTAAACAAAAAAACTATGCAAATGAATGAATATCATGATTTACATTTACTGAATATTTGGGTGAAATTGATTTATATTTACTGAATATTTGGGTGACATTGATTTATATTTACTGAATATTTGGGTGAAATTGATTTATATTTACTGAATATTTGGGTGACATTGATTTATATTTACTGAATATTTGGGTGACATTGATTTATATTTACTGAATATTTGGGTGAAATTGATTTATATTTACTGAATATTTGGGCGAAATTGATTTATATTTACTGAATATCTGGGTAAAATTGATTCATATTTATTAATTATCTGGGTTAAATTGAGTCGGATTCACTAAATAAAATAGATTATATCAATTCACATTTTACCACATTGTTACTTAATTCAATACATTCCCACTGCTATTCTAACTTCAAGTCTATTCAATAATATTGATTGTTGCCATAATCTTTCTATGTCTAATTCACTCAATACTATGCCATCTTGGTGCCACAGTAAACTAACTTAAAATAACTTGAGCCAACAGATCAATATAAAAAAAATATATAATGGCTGTCTCCCTAAGACCTACACAGGAACACAAACACACACACACACACACACACATAGTTTTGATTTATTATCACGAGGCAGCCATTTTTAGAAACTTTGTGTCGGCCCGTGTTGTGGCAGGGGATTTCCAAATTCAGCTGGCATGAGCCCCATGATCCTTTGCTGCCATCAGCTGTGAGTCACTCATTTACATGGACAACAAGCGAAGTGGAAGATTCCTCAGGTCTGGGACCTCATGCTGCAACTGATGAAAAAACTATTGAGCAGGCTGTGAGTCGAGGACAATATTTTAGTAAGTAAGTAAAAGATGCTGGGGGGGGATTTCTGGAGGCCAATACCGTTACTACGCTTTCTCACCACTTAACTGCATACTGTATATATTGACTCTGAAGATTTCATATTCATCTATTAAGGCTCCAGCTACCCAGGGAGGGGAATGCAATCAACTGGCGTGGCTGCTGAGGTATTTACCTGCATTTTAATTCAAGCTTGGCGAACACAGCCGAGGTGGTGGCTGCAGCTGGTTGTGCGTGGCGTTCATAGAAACTGCTCACTGCAAACCTACACACACACACATGCACACAAATCCTTCATCTCTTGCCCGCTCTCATTTGGTGCGCTGCCTTGTCACCGTGCCGATCGATATTCTTCGGTAATGGCTGCCTGGAGAGCGGTGCACTTGAATGACAGCTCTGGGACCGTGCTTGAGTGATGGAGCGTTGTTTGCCGGCTTAATTAACTTCCAGTCAAGTCGCCAGTATTCACATCCAGCCACCCCGGGCCCCACCCCGACCCTATTACCCTCAGCATAAACAACATGCCAATTAAAAGGATGCCTGCACAGCCGTGCTGCTTTGTTTCCACAAGAGTCTGGAAATAAATATTCATCTCAGTATGTATAAGGCTTGTTTGCTGGATCATATATTATGGATCAAACAATTCTGCTAATGAAAGAAAGTTTTCCCCGTCTCCTGAAAAATAATTTTCCATATCGACCTTTACTTATGGGGGAGCTTTGCAAATGTCACAGGAGATTGTATGGAGACATCCACTGCGCCTCAGTAACTGCAGATTACTATTAAAGATTTCAATTTTCCCCCTGTCACTTCAGTTTGAAGTCAAAAGCTAATTTGCTTGGCTTGTTGCAAAGGGGATCAATAGATTGACGAGTGGGCGGGAGGTAAGGTGGTGCTAGTGGAGAGGGTGATTTCTAGACACTTTGACTGAAGACAGGATGCTTCAAGCCTGGATGCGAGTATCAGGGGAGGCTTGTAGCCACGGCAGCGGCACTCTTTGCTATTCAGCTCACTAGTGTTTTTTTCCCTTACGGAGCACAACAGCAATTCACAAAGGCTGTAATAGTCTGAGATTTAGCTTAGCTGGCAGAGCCCAAACTGTTTGCAGATGCAATTCAATGTTTCAAAAGTTTCAAGTGCAAGATTGCCGGTATTGATCGAGTCGAACTGAATAAGCACCACACAGCCGCATCCCTGCAACAAGAGTCAATCTACCGCCTTTGAAAATGAGGGTTTCATTGCATCATGGGAAGCTGTAATGAGAAACGTTGCACATATATTGATATATGTGAGAAACTTTTTACAAGATGCTTTTCACGTCATAACATTTTTCATTGTGTTATCATCACTAGATAGCAAAATGATTGTTTTTATCTTGTTATATCACACATCTTTCTTATTATTTCACAAACACAAAGTGTCTCTTTTAAACAAACTTGTGCTGAACAAGTTGATATGTTGTTATAGGAGATTATTTTTAGCAGCATTTTAGTGCATTTGTTTTATTGATTGCTGTCAGGATGTAAAGAGAATTTCAACAAATATGACAAAGATGTTTTTAAAATACATGACCCACCCCAGCTTTGTTTCCCCACCTTTTTACTTTGTGCTATTACCCACCACTGAGTTTTTATTTATTTATTAATTCTTCGTCAATTCACATTAAAATCCGACCAGGACCATTTAAACTGCTGTTTCAATGTGAAACCATGCACCAAGCATTGAGTTTCATTGTAACTAAATGAACTGAAGCAATGGACAGAACACCAGAGCATTAACTATTGAACATAATGAACATATGTAAACAGTAGCTCTGTCAAAAAGACAAACTAAGAGTAGCAGAGTGGTTAGGGTTATAAAATGGACTTTTAAATATAGGTATACCTGTATTCAAAAAAAAAAGTCCAATCAAGTATTTAAAAATTGGCATTCACAGACATCCAATCACATTGTCACACACATCCACCCAATCAAACACAAATGTGTTTTTTTTTCTCTTTTTTAGAAAATACTGTGATATTTTATTAAAAATGTTGCAGAAAAAGTTTATACAGGTTTCCAGCCAGAAATATCTCTATTATCACTTAAGGCAAAACCGCAAACAAAAATAAGACAAAGTAAGGATTTTGAAACTCTACATTAAAACCCTCGTCTTCTTGACTGGTTTAGGGACCAAATGGCAAGAATATATCTTTTTAGAGAATTTACAAATGTAGCTTAAAATCTTCTGGATGTACTTCCATTTTTTTCCATTTTCTGTAATGGGATGCAAAAAGGAAAAAGAGTTATTGGTTAATTTTGTTGTAATTTTATAATAATTAATATCATTAATATTTACACTCATTCACTTGCTTTTGTAACCCGAAATATCACAAGCCTGGCACAATACTTTACATATTGCTAGCATATGACAATTTGAAATATCTAACATATATTTCTTTACAAACATATCCAACTAATATTGATACAAAAAAATCACTGCCTTTTTTATTTCTAATGAATACATTGCTGGTCACATTGTAAGCTCAGGCAGTGCTGAGATTGCAAGACAGAAAAAGCCCACAAAGAAAACTATCAGAAGCATAACAGGATGACAGCAGGTGATGGGATCGAGTCAGTGCTCATTCTCAGACAGGAGACGTGTCTGAGGATGGAAGTAAAGCTCCTCCTGGACATGCGATGTCTGAAGAGTGGAAACAAAGCAACGTACGAGACAGTACTGGATGTAATGACCTGCAGACGCACAGCGTGCACCTCTCCGAGGATGGGATTGTGTTCGCATTTTGGTTGTTCTGTGGAAAAATATTGAAACGCAGGTTGTGATCAGAAGAAGAATGAATGTTTAGATATATTTACACGCACCTAAACAGAAAGCACAAGCTGGGAAACCCAAAAGATGGCAGCCAAAATAATAACAAAAAACAATAGAAGGATCTCTTGTAATACATATTTTTTTCTTTTTTAGGTTTCAAAATGTCCACGCACAACTATATACCTTTTTCTTTTCTTTTCTTATTTTCTTCTTCTTTTTTTTTATAAATTTTTCATAAATACATTTCAGGCTGGGGTGTAGAATTCTGTGCCCAAGTCAGGTGTCTGATGCATGAAGGATCATGAAAAGATGATGATTCCGACGTTTATTTGTTGCTTTTCGACAATGGCTGCCACTGTCGTCCTTTTGTGTATGGTATTTATGGCACAAAAGTCTCTGCAAAAGCTTCTCTGTCACACTGAAACTGTTCATTTGATATTGTAAGAATCATAATAGTCATCCCTGGTTGCCTTTTCTTTTGGTCAAACTCCTTAAAAACCATCCATGAAGCTTAGTTCCAAGCAGAGTTATTACTAGAGTAACATTCACTTTGAATATTTTCAGGATCAATTTATACTGTATATGCTTTTCCAGAAGACATGGTACCAAAATAACATCTTCTAAGTCTGTGCTTCACACAGTTAGCCACTCATATTTGCCTTGCGAGGATAGTGGCTGATCCAGAGGGAATCCAGCGCCATAGCGTCCCAGTGGAGCTATACCCGCGTGGTGGAGTGGCCATGGGGTAAGTTGGTATTGTTCTGGCTGCCACCGAAAGTATTGAAGTTGTGCAGAGGCTGCATGCCAGCCAGCGAGTTGGGGATCATGGTGATGGTGCTGGGTGTCATCAGGGGTATGTCGTCGGGCGAGCGGCGCAGCGTGAGTGTATAGTCGGGCGGGCAGGTGAGGCGCAGCGTGTCGTGGGTCTGCAGCGCCTCGCACTCATGGTGATGCTCGTGCTCCAGCTGCTGCTGCTTCATCTGCAGAGACATCAGCTCCTCGCTCTGCAGGTGGGCCACGTCATTGGCGGTGGAGGGCGTGTTGGCTGGTGCGGAGTTGCGCTGTGGGGTGGGGACCCGCCGGTTGGAGTCATGCCTCCGCTTGTCTTTCTTGTAGTAGAGTGCAGCGAAGGCGAGGATGTTCAGAAAGAGCAGGGATGCTCCCACTGCGATGGTGACACTGAGCTCAGTGGAGTAGTCCCTCTTGGTCTCGATCACCACAGTCGACTCATCGGTCAGATCGCCACTCTTGCGCTGGTCAGTGGTCTGTTTGGTGTTGGCAGGTGGGACCCCCGGGTGGCGGGTGGTGGATGGCCAGTTGTTTTTGCCAGGGAAGCGTTTGGTGTAAGGGTAAGGGGTGGTATCCTGTGGAGGTATTTTGGTGGTGGTGGATACGTATTGAAAAAATTCATTTATGTTGTGGAGATGGGGAACTAGTTCTAACCAGAAAGCCACCTTGGTGGCGCGGTAGTGGTCTCGGACTCGAGGTTTGAGGCCAATGTGAAGGTAGAGCTGGTCTTTGGGGTTGTACTTGGTCCAGGCTACCTCCTCAAATCGGTTGGGCTTTGTGTGGATGAACTTTGTATCCTGTGGAACCGGTTGATTTGGATCCCTAAAAGAGGAAAATAGAAGGAAGAAGAGTTGAAAATCAAGGAGATGTAATCAAAGTACCAAACTCTTTTCTATGGAGCTGTATACAGGACTGAATCATTAATATGGCACATCCGTCCAAATCCATTATAACACAGCAAGAATGAATAAATGGGACATGAAATAACAGGAACCATTCTTAATATAACATTCACCTTCATCACCATTTAAAACAAAATGACCATGTTTTAAACAGCTTAATGTGAATGTGTAAACGCCTTTGTCCTTCATTTTAAAGCAGCGTGATTCATTGGGTTGGATCCATTTAGCAGTAATTTGTGACACTTCCACATGAGTCATTATTTCAAAAAGTCAAAGCCTTTCTTCTATTTCTCTGCTCCCTCTGTTCAAAGCTAATGCGTTTCGAGGTGACTCTGAATTTGAAGGCCCGAGTTGACAAAATGTTCTGTGTCCTTTATACACCAATGACACATTTCCAGGTCTGTTGTCACATTTTCTTAATATTCAATCTCACCCGGGATGTTACTTCTCTGTAGTCTGGAATAGAGCTTCCTCTCTAGTGACTTTGTGGGAGCGATTTCATTAACTTTGGAGAGGTGAGGGGGAGTGAAGGCTAGACAACAACCTTGGAGCCGACACACTGGAGTGTTTGTGTAGCTGTGTGTGTTGGTGGGTTGGTGTGTGTGTTGGAGGGGTATATCTGAATACCCAAGAGGAGGGAGTATTGAATCATGCATTGCATTTTGGGGGCCACAGAGGAGCACTGATGAACTCCTGCCTATGTATAAGCAACAGACAGTGAGGGTGTGTTTGTGTTGACTGGTTACAGATAGATGTGTGTGTGTGTGTGTGTGTGTGTGTGTGTGTGTGTATGTAGGAGTGTGGGCACTGTGCAGTCTATGTGTGGCACCAT